TCCATTTAACAGGGCTCTGCTCCCCTCTCCTCACTCCACCCCTCTCGTCTCAGACTTAACCCTGTCCTGGGCAAACATCAGGTCCATACCATGACTGGATCTCTCACGGGAGGGGACAGACAACCTTTGTGCGGATGCAGAGCTGACCACCAGCTCAGATGAGTCCCCAGGAGGTATCCACAGCCGCAGCTCTCCCCTCTGTCACGCCAGGCACTGCTGGGAGCATCTGCAGACAGTGCTTACTCTGAGCAGCCATGGCCACACAATAACCTCCTTCTCCCAGAGGCAGGGCACCGGCATCAGTAAACCAAACTAACCATCCTATCAGACAATTATTGTCTATTATTAATTTCCTTATCCACCTTACCAAACTACCATAACAAAGCCATACAAGATATTACTTATTCTATTACTCAGGAGTGCCTCTGAGGAGGGACCATTTGGGATCCTAACCCTGGGGAAGACCTGCGAGACGGGCAGACGCTGCAGGGACAGACATCAAGTCCTACTACAGCGCCAGGCCCCAGCTGAGAGCCATACCACATGGCAGCTTGGATAATCGTCTGATCAGCTAAGGCTTGGCCAGACACTATTTTAACTCAAGTATGCACAGAAGGGAGGAGAAAAAAAATAGCTTTTAGTGATTTAAGAGGAGCATGACTGGTATTTTGTTAAAATAATTACAATAATAATTCAATACCTAACCAAACAAGACCTCAGAATAAAGTTCTCTGGCATGAGTATCTATTTTCTTTTAAAAACATGAAATTGAAACATACTAGGAAAATAAAGATCGTAATAAAAGCCTGCGATTTTAGGCATTTTATTTCTATGGTTCACTGCTTGGTAGAAAGCCATACTGCATAACCTCAGCAGGGATTTCCCAGGGCACCAGTAAATCTTGTTACTGAAAATAGACAGAACAGTGGGGGAAATTTAAATCAAAGCTACCTTGTTAACTCTGTCACCTACAAACTACATCCAGCTGCAGAGAAGTCCTTTTCAGCAAGAGAACTTCCCAAAATGGAAATACTCACCCACACACAGGATGTTGAAACAAAACCCATGATTAACTGACTTATTAACCAGCTGGTCAGGCAAACTGTCAAATCCTACGTGTCCGGAAAGCGGGACAGTGCGACAGCCTTCACCCTGAAATACAATGAAATAGTTGTATCATTTTCAAGCAAAATACACTTATCTGTATAAACCCTTAAGACCTCCCAAGTAGAATGCACAGTCCAAGCAGAGATTTGCACGTATACGGTACATCGTATACTGTAAATCTTGTCAGCGTGCTTCCCTCTTCTCCAAAACAAATCCAGACGGCACAAAAAGAATGTTTCATTTGCCACACATTAGAAGATAGCCCTGTCAAAAAAATAAACTGTGCAAAACATACCCAAACACAGCTGCTGAAATAAAGAGGTGGCAAAACATTTGTTTCTTGAGAAATTATGTAGACACTCAAGTCTCACCTTATACTGAAACAAAAAGAATCCCCTGTGCAAAGGAATGTATTAATGATGCCTCCTCCTATAAGCCTATGACAATTCACTTAATGTGAATTGTAACTCACATGTAACATACATTCACAGCTGCGACTACAGAAACGAGCTAGAAAGTTAGGTAAACTGTACCTACATCTAGTAATTGAACAACCCAAACACACTGTCTCTGCAAAGCTCAAGCGCTGTAGCACAGAAACAGCAGAGAATACAGTCTTTGAGCTATCAAACGCAGCAATATCTTCCATATTGTTGCGAAGATGAAAATCTCAGATTGCAAACAGGAGTCTGTCCAAATCTATAAAACGGCCATTAGCACCAGAAAATCAGGGATCATTGAAGGAAGCTGCAAGGAAGATGCTCCTTGCAGCAGGTCTTCTCCAGCTCTGAGTGTTGCTATCCAACCTTCGGAGCATATCTTTCAAACCTAGGAACTGAACAGGAAAAAAAAAGCTGAGAAAAAGCATCCAGAACTGAGCTGCTCGTAACCACGCAGCCCCATCAGAAGGGAGCCTGCACGGGGGTCTGGGAGCAGAGGTACCCAAACCTGCCTGCTGCGAGGCCTGGGCCACCCCTGCCCAGCCACCCAAATGACCATGAGAAGCTGCTCCCACACCCTGCTCTCTCCTGCGCCCGACACCACTAACCCAGTCTCCCCGGCCAGGCATCGCCTTTCTGCCCTCGGAAGTAGAAGGGTCGAGCTCCAGCTCCCACTGTGCTCCACACCCAGCATGGCCGCTTGCTGGGGGGAGGGGGCGCAGAAATTTTCACCTGGCCATTGCACAAAGATCTATGTATGCCAAGGCACTCTGGGTTCCAAACCTGCACAGCAGACAGTAATAAACTACATGCAGAGGCTCAACCTCAGAAATGGCATAATGCAAAATGGAGAGTTGGTGCTAAACCCGCGTATTTGCGTGTACTGGAAAGTTCCCCTCCTGCAGCCCCCCAGAAAGGTATTTCCCTCTCTGGAGCAAAGGCTTTTTTTAACCATGTATTTTAGCATCAAATACAGAAAATTCCCCTCTGGCCTTTCAGGGACATCATCAGTTTGCAAGAAATACTACAGCCAAAAGGCAACAGTTTATAGGGTGTCATTTTTAACTTACTCTTTCAGAATCATGTTTTCACATTATCTTGAAAGCCTGTTTATAGGGACAGGCATACTGGTTCTCCCTCTTCTGTTAATGGCACTGGTATTTTAGGCCAGGAAAACATCCCCAAGGACGACATTTACTACAGTAGCCTGTCAGAGTACGATCACTTGCCTTGTTATTGTTTTGCTGGTGTGGGTTTTTTTTCCAAATATGAGGCTCCAAATACACTTCAGCCATTAACCATATTTACCACCCTGTGATGTGTAAATATGTTTCCCCTTAGCCATATTTTGTGTATTAGTCTGACTCTTCCTGTCAAGATGTTCACCAAATATGGTGCTTCATTAATTTCTGAGCACCTTGCCTCCAAACGACATGTTCATCAGGAAGGCGCTCGAGTTGCCCAGCAGATTCTGTTTTCGCCTTCTGAGGATGCAGCTCTGAGGCCAAATAATTCACAAACAAACAGCTAAAGCAGAAGAAAGGGAGACCGTCAGGCACGCAGATTTTGTGATGACACGCCTAAACTCTCCTGAACTGCTTTCACCAAAACAAAAACCCAGCACTGGGGTATCTCATGGCAGTGTTTGATCTGCAGCAAGAGAGCACCATGGCCCCGGTGAAGAACAGATGGGTGGACAGAGTCCACAAAGGCATGAGAGAGAACCACAGGCAGACTCCTCCTGGGGAAGGAGAAATATCAAATGTATTTTTAATACTCAGCCTTAAAACTGCACTGTTGGAAGACTGTTTGAACACTACTCTCCCCAGGAAGCGTGGGCGGGAGTGTAGGCTCTCATTAAGAACAAATCTTCTCCTCATCCCTAAATATAAGTGTGATCCAGATGGAACAAAATAAACGGTAGAAGTTAAGCCACTCTCGGCTGAGAGGAGGCATTTACCGTCACACAGAATTCAGCCTGCATATCATTTCCTGTAGTGTCTTTTTCTAGTCACCTGTGGTTTTATAATGCAGTTAAACCACACTTCACATCTGCTACAGGCCAGGAAACAAGTACTGCAAAATCTGATTTCCAGTCACAGCAGCTGAGCCTTCATGTTAAGTACACAGCCATGAGGTATATTGTGCTGCTCTGGCTAAAAATCCAAAGCCTGCTTGGCCAAGGCATCGAGAGATCAGATGCGGTGGGGAAAAAAAAAAAAGAGAAATAATGTTTTAAGGTCAGACTGGTTTCGACACACATCAGAAAGTTGTCAGCAATTACCAAACCCGCGGAGAGAAAAGAAACATTTTCTATCTGATCCACCAAGAAACAGTGCAAGTCACCAGTCTTCACACACCAAGTGGTGTCTCTGTATCCAGAACGCTGCTATATATAAACAGCATCATCATAAACAACATATGAACACAGCAATTAGTCATCCTGCCTGTACATTAAATGTCGATTTGGATTACCTGTTCAAAACTGAAGGAGAATATATTAAGCTTACAAGCTTTTTGCTGAAAAAGTGTTCAAGAGCTATCTTCCATTATTTATCTTCAAAAACAATCTTTCAGGTCAAATTTGAAACATGTAAAGAGGTACCAACAAGGTAAGCAAGGTTTAACTATTGTCTGTGTGAAGGCTTTTTCCACGAGCGTCAGTGAGTGCTGGATGGCTGAGAGTCCTTCCATACTCTCTATTTTAAAGTTAGCATCTTCTTGGAACGAAGACAAGGACAGGATCTCTGGGAAGCCAGTGTGAACGCTGGCACCACACCAAGGTACCAGATGCCTTCCCCCCCCCCCCATACACAGAGTGACCCCCTAGGATAGAATGGGCCGTTGTTGCTCGGGAGGAAGCAAAGCGTGTTTGCCACAAACAAGATTAAAAGAACAAAAAGAGCAACACGCTCTCTTGCTGCATTACCAGGCAGTGCTATGGCAGAGTGTAAGTAAGGAGTAGCCGCTTGGAGAGGTTATTTTATTTTTTCCCTGTCTTTGGAGGATTTACACACCTTTTGTTAGGACTTCTCCATGTCACAGGAACCACCACTGCCTACTCTAATTCTTACAAAGAACTATCAGAAATATATGGAAAATACAAAGATGTTATAATAAATGACCCCAAGCCTGAAAGCACTGCACATTAAATATTAGTTTACATAAAATGGGCAAGATATAGAATCCAGGCGTTTGAATCACTCCAGGGTCCTCAGGACAAAAAAACAATTAGAGGAAAGCCCTGCTGAATGTGCATCTCTGCCTTGATCTGCTTTACATGACAGGTAGGTACAGTGCTGTCAGCTCCTGATGTCCTCGGGGCCCCAACAGGCCGTTACCGCTTTGTGAAGATAAAGCAGAGCATCCTCCCTGAGACACACAATGGTGCTGCTCATTGCAAATGTCAACACTCCATACTCAGGACAATTTCTGGTGGCCTGGACTACAGAAACAATGAAAAAGGACACCATGGCAAAGGAAAAGCCTCCACTTGGTGATATTCAGGCAGAGCACAGCTAATAAAGAATGCTACAGCTCTAACCCAAGGGACCCAGTGTCCGAACGAGGCCCGCACAACAAGAAAACTCTCCCAAAGACTGCAGTACAATACTTCTGCGTCTAACTGAAAAGAGTGTTTCTGTTTAGGACGCTGACAGCTGACATTTAGTACTTTCGACACAATTCCCCACCTCTCCCCAGATGAGAATCATTTCAAATGCCAAGGCCTTGGAGACTCCTTTCGGAGGATTTCCAAACGGCCAGAACAAACACAACAGCACCATCCCTCAACGAAAACAAATCAAGCAATGCTCACAGAGCTCCACCACCGCTGCTGATGCTCACAGCAGGCACTCCCCTGCCCCTCTGCCACCCCGTAAAGCTGAGACCCGGAGGATTAACCCCTATACCTCAGACAACTCTTGCACAAAAAGTCAAACGTCAAATTGCAAAGCAAGGCAGAATCTGAATTCAGGTTTCCACACCACAGTTTTTCACATCATCTTTAAGCCAGAACACCATCAGATCCTTTCTCAGGACCTTGGCGTTATGGCATCCACTTCCCCAGACTGCATTTGGCTCTGATTAAACAGCAAATTAGAGCAACACTTGTACCAATTACTTCTCACGTGTACAAGTGTGTAATTCTCTTAAGCAATGAGAGAATTATCCAGCAGACAGTATAAATATCCTCCACGAGATAAATGGAATGTAAAATGTAGATAAAGACTTTGTGGTTCTTTTCCTTGCTCAGCTGATAACAAATCGTCAGGACGCATATAAAAGAAAAACAACAGAAAAGCAGGAAATAGTTCTGAATCAGCCGCCACGGAAAACAAGAATCATCTCACCAAAGCTCCTGACCATCCACCACTCTCTTCAGGCGCACTGCATCATTCAGCCATTCAACAGTCACAAACGGTCAAGTGCTTCCGAAATCTCAAATTCTGACAGCTCTTAAGATTACATGTCTTTATGCCCCTGCCAAAGGACTGCAGAAACACCATGCTGTTTGGATACGTTCCCAGGAGAAGTCTCCTCCAGCAATTAAAAAAAATATATATTTGTATCAGCAGTCTTAATGATTTTTCTGACCTGTAC